GAATTTTGTTATCAATCTTGATTTTAAAGATTCGAATAATTTTTTTTATCAATTTATCCACTCTAATTTATTTTTGAATTATTTACAAGATGCCACTATCAAAAAAAAAAAAAATGCATATTAAAAAAATAATAACTCAAGAACGTGTAAAAAAGGGAAAGATTTTAAAAATAAATAGTACAATCGCTCAAATCGATCCAAAAAATTTGCCAGTTCTTGAACATGCTATATCTGATTTTAAAGAGGCTCAATCTTCTAATACTTCTTCTCTTTTAAATTGTCAAGAAACATTATTTAATAACATACGTAATATGACTGATGATTCTAAGTCAAATGCTCTTGATATATTTGATAATATGAAATATCCAAAAGGAAGAAATCAAGGAAAAATTATTTCTCCTCATATACAAAAAAAAGCAATCGATTTTTTAAATTATGGATTGTATAAAAAAAAAAGCACAATTAAAGATTTGGAAGAAGAAAATAAAGAACTAAAAAATCAAATCAAGAAGTTTGGAAAAGAAAAAGAAAAATTGATTAAAAAAACACAATCGTTGGGTGCCAGTAAACAACATTTTAAAACAAAATCTGAAAAAAGAGTTTCTACAATTAGGTCTCTTGTTCGCAAATCTGGAAATTTTTCTGAAAATGAATTTAAAAATCAAGTTAAATCTCTCTTTAAAATAAATAAGAATGAATATTCGCCACAAATGGTTTGGCTTGCAACAAGAATTACCCAGGTTGGACAAGTATCAATGCATTCAACTGTAGAATGTCTACGATTAGTATATCTTAATTGGAGAAAAACCAAAAAAATGGTTATCACGTTCAACATTAAGTACTTGGCATCAAGAAGTAGCCAATTTAGAAGTTCATTCAACCATTACACAACTTTCTGAAGTAAATAGTTATGGTATAATGGTTGATGAATCCACACGTGGCGAAAATAAATATTTGGTGATTGTTTTTGCATTTTGGAGCTATGTAGAAAACTTTCCTCTAGCAAAAGTTATTGAATTAAAGGTAATTTCAAAGTGTGATAGTGTGACAATTGCAACAAATGTCCTTAATTTGATTGAAGAGAAGAAGCTTGATCCAAAGGCATGTTCAGTGTGGATTACTGATAATACAGCTTACATGTCAGGAAAACATAATGGTGCTGTTTTGAAATATAATCGAATGTCATCAAGTAATGCAGTTAGAATTGGATGTGGACTTCATATTATTCATATTGTACTTACAAATTTTGAGCAGGCAGCATTTGGTAAAAGAAAAAACACTATTGGTTTTT